AAGTCCAACAGCAAAGTCTAATTTATTCTGGAAACTTCTTAGGGTATTTAGACAATAATGGGTGAAAATGCTGTGCTCAGTGAAGAAAAGCATCAGAGATAACCTTACTTTGGACTGTGAGTGTCATGCAAAGAAAGAGAACTTGCCTTTAAAGTAATTATTAAAATCAGTTTGTAAGTTATAGAGCCTAGTCCACCTAGAGAGATTCTCCAAGAATGAGATGACCATGCAAACAAACCAAAAAGCAATCTTCCAGGAAAGAAATAAAATGTTTTTCTGGAGTTCTCTTTCTAATGCAAGTCCCAAAGGAAAGAACAAGTAAATTCATGCCACCTTAGTGGAAGGAGACAAGGATGCCAAGACTCAGGATAACTCCTTGCAGCTTATCAGGTGTTTGAACTAAACATTTGCAAAGGAAGTTTTGACTTTACTAAAAATAAATTCCAGATTGTACATGAGGCTTATTTTGTAGTCTTCCATAATGTCTCTTCTACACTGTTTTCTGGGAATTTTATGAGCTAACATCTTTTAAGGAGGTTTTGTCATACTCTAAGGAAATAAAGGCACAGATCAGCAATTTCACAACCTCTTGAAGTGGGACTTCAAGTGGGGCTTATGCTCACTTTGTTAGTGGAAATTGAAAGCAAGTCACTTTTTTGCTCATCTAACTTAAATTGAAATATGGCTCTCCTATTTTAAAACAAAAATAGCCTCACTCAAGTATCAGTTACTGAGTATCGCATCACTGAAGGCAAGGGAGTCCAACCCAGTGTCACCATAGACGCGGTTTAGGTTGTGGCCATTTTGCATGCGGACAAGGTCAAAAATACCTTTGAAAAAGCTTCTCATATGCACCCCTTGTTCCCTGAAATTAAAAACAATAAATTCCTGAGTCCAGCAGGCAGCATGAGGCACCCTAAATCAGCAAACCAATTCTATCTCCACTCTGCCTTCATGCACCGCTGTACTGTACCAGCTTTGCTGTGCCACAGCCCACCACCTCAAACAAATTTCTGCAGTGCTTTCAGCACCATCTTCTACAGCCTGGCTTGAAATCGCAACCTTCACTACCCTGCCTCTGTTTACAAGATCCAAAGTATGTCTTCAGACCTAAAGAGGAAAATTAATTTAATCTGCCTAAGTTACCCTCAGACATCCTTGAGTGAGTGACTTAGCATCCAAGCACTATACAGCTGTATTAACTCAAGTAGCACATGAAATGCCTGCGTGTGGCTAGCACAGGGCTTGTGCGAGCCCTAGCAACATGCTGCCCACAGGAGCTCAAAGGCGAAATGATTCCCATACACCTTTTGGGTTGGTTTGGGGTTTTTTACTATTTGTAATATGCTTCAGTTTAAAAAGAAGCCTGTCCTCACTGCTCCTTAGGGCCTGACTCAGTACTAACAACACTGACAAAGAAGACCATACTTGGAGGTACACACCATCTTTGGGAGGAAATAATGGGCAAAGCCAGAAGTGCCAGTGCTAGCCAGGAGGTGGCAGAGGAGCGAGGCTACCTTGTACACCCGTTTCTGCTTTAGTTTGGCAAAAGTACAAATGCAAACCAAGGAAAGCCAACAAAACCCAGCTCCACCCTCCATCTTCAGGAATAAGAGGATGAAACCCTTAATAACATTCCTGCTTGCAGTTTATACTAATTGCTCATCTTCCTGAGATCTGACTTTATGAAATTATGCATGCACACCAAGCAGATGAGTTTCCATAGAAACTCAGGAACTGAACTTTCATTAGAAAAATCTTTTTTTTTTTTTTTTAAATCTTCCAGATAAAAATGCAAATTGCCTGTCAGTGGGTGGCTTTCTGAATTTATATATAATTTTTTTCTTTTGCACTGTAGGCAGATTCCAGCTGGACCTACATAGCAACAACATGCAGGCATTGTTTATAGCAAGCCAGACTCCATGGGGAAATAAGAAATTCAGGAGCAAGGAGAAGCTCTCAAGTGCAAATACCTCAGGGAAACAAAAAACTGAAGTGCTCAGTGCTGCATCTTCATGAGGTTTGGGGGTTGTGCAGCCTCCAGCTCTCAGAAAATGCTTGTGGTTTGCAAGGAGCAGGGTGGGGAGGAGGGGAGATAGGAAACCCAAAGCAAGAAACTCTCCTGCACACAGAATTCATGATGTTCAACCTGTCCTTTAAACATCCAGCAGCATATTTCTGCCGGTTCAGTTAAGCCTCACTGGAAGGGCTGACACCATCTGTCGCAGCTCACTCTGGGCGAAGGAGCAGGTCTCTGTGCTGGGGTTTGGGAGCATGGGCAGGGCCTGGGTTGGAGAGCGGTTCGGCCACACCCCGACCTCCGCTTGGGCTGAGGCCTGAAGCCCAGCATCTTTAGGCCCACACCCCATAGGATTCCAGGCACATGGGCAGGAAGGGGACATGGGGCTGTTCCTGATCAGAACGAAAGGGAAGCCGGACGGTGGGCACGTCTGGGAAGGGCCCTGGACCTGGGCAGCCTTTGGCACTAACAGTTGTGCATGTTAGCAAGGAGGAGGGGGGGGAAATCTTTACCTCCTTTAGCAAATGTTTCCTCCTGTGTTTCTCCCCAAAAACACAGAGCAGTTTTTCACTCATGCAGGATACTGCAGCATCAGCAAGAGGCTTTCCTCTGGCTTTGGGGAGCCTGGGATCACCCTTTCTAAGTGTTCACAGATTTTTTTTTTTTCAGACATACTGGCATGTTTGAAACCACTGAATACCGACAAGCGAATGCTCACGTGTACTGCACTTACTGGTGGGCATCAGCTTCAGCATCTCCCCCAGGTGAACACAGTAAACACAGTACCTGTGGTTTGCGTACAGCTTCCTCCCGGTGCTGCAAACCAGCTGCAGGGACCTCAAGCACAGGCCCAGTAAAGGCAGCAGCTCCGCACCAGGGAGCCGTGGCGGGGGGAAGCCACGCCAGCCTCTGCGCCTTGACCGACACGGGTGCTGGGGCACACAAGGGAGCTGTGCTGCACGAGCGGTTTACTATGAGGTGGATTTCACTGCAGCATTGTTGAGAGGCGCGAGATGTCAGCCGGGGAGGGAATTCCCCTCCTCGTTGGAGAGGGATGACAGGCAGCAGCTGCACGGGCTCGCTGGCCCCTGTGTCTCCAGGGCCATCAGCCCTCCAGCAGCATCGAGAGGCTCGATGCCGCGTAGTGTCAGGGTGAGGACAGCGATGGGTCCCCAGCCACCAGAGAGCACAGTCGGCTCTGCTCGGTCAGTGCAACAGGAAGAGTTTTTAGGAAGAGTGGTTTTGTGGTTGAGGACAAACTTGAGCTGAGATAGCTCCCGTCTATTCTTGGCTCAGCAGCAGATTTGCTACGGCCACACTACTTGCCCTTTCTATGCCTCATTATCCCTGTCAAGTGGGTGACTCAAATTATAATTGCACAAATTCCTTCCAGTCTGTCATTACGTGCCTGCGGTCGTCTCCAGGCAGCTACCTCCAGAGGAACCAGCCTCTCCCATCGGGATACCTCTGTGCCACCCATGCCTGCTCGCAAGGGGACTAGTAAGATCAGGCCCCGTTGCCTTGCCATTTTCCAAGAGAGAGAAACCTAAAGAAAAAACATCCCCACTGCATCTCTAAATGATCAGATTTGATACTGAGTTGATTATTCAGGTCAAGGTTATGAGCAAGAAACAGGCAAGCTATAAAACAGGCTGTAGGGTCTTAGTCATGCTGATGCACCCTGCATCTAATGGCACTTTTGGAAAAGCAAACGAAACGAGACAAAGGAAAAAATCTGCACTACTTCCAAAAGCATCACCATTCTTTCATCAGAAATTTACTTGGGTTCTAGTCGCAAGAGATTTCAAGTTTCTTATGTCTTTTCATCTCAATTAAAGGCAATTAGACACATTAAAGATTAAGCTAATGCTTTTCTTTATATATATGCATCTACATACTGCGTATGTCCAGGAAAAGCATGAAGTCAGGCAGTCATCTCACTTTCCAGTGTTTCTGCAGGTGAGTGCAGGTGGAGGCCATGCAGAGCGTGGCCGGCGACAGGACAGTGTTGGCTGCTTCCTCCACAGGCCACACCTGGATGAAACTGGTGGGAGGCTCATCCTGGTGTGTGCACCTTCAGGAGGAAGCAGAAAAATGCCACTAATGTGTCGTGGCCTGCAAAGCCCACGTGACCATCTGGGCTCGTTGTGGTTGACTGCTGTGTAATTAAAAGGGAGCCTGGCTCATTAGATGTTTTGTGGGTTCAGATGCATCCATACAAGCCCTATAGGAAAACATGTTCTTCCTACCACTTATTTCATCGTCCCCCTCCTGTTCCTTCCAGATGGTTACACCCACTTGTGTCTTTTCTTACCCTAAGGACAGCTTTTTAAACAAGGTTCCTCCATCCTTCTCCTCCCCCACACTGCTTTAGGTTGTACATCCAAGTGCAGGAGGACAGAGGGCCCCGTGTTGTTAAGTACAGCCTGCCCCTGGAAGGCTGGAAGGGGGACCGTGTCCCTCTAGCCCCATTTGTTAAGAAGAAGGATCTTTCTATATGGTTGGGATGTAGGAGCTGAAAGACTACCTCAGCCTCAGCTGGATGTTCCACATGTGCAAGAGTTAGTTTAGATACTGGGTGTAATTGAACCTGTGTATATTTTCCTGGGGGTCAGAAGCCACTGTAACCTACTCAAGGGGAGAGAGAAGCTTAAAGGGCCTGTAGCCTTTCTTCTACATAGCACCAGTGTACGTTCTCCCAGTAACATGCAGCAGGAGCACTTGCAGAGCTGGATCAGTCTGCTTAAAAAAATATATATTTTCACAATTGTTTTTTTAAATTCCTCATCACAATCAAAAAAAAAAAAAGCAGAGTTTAACAGCTGATGGCTTTTCTTCTGCAGAAGTAGGTGGAGACCCCTCCCATAGGACTCCTGTGCCCGCACTCGTACGTCTGCCCAGCTTGCTGGGAGCTCGGGGCGCTCCATTTCTTCCTCTGTTTTGTGCCGTTGTTAACTGCTCATCGCTTGTTTGTTGACAGGGCCTGGTGCTGAGCAGGCTTGGGCGGAGGGACCTGGCCCAGAAAGTCCTCAGAGATGCCATCCAGATCCAGACCACCAGTCACAGGGCCTGGAACAGCCTTGGAGAGGTCTTGCAAGCTCAGGGGAAAAACGAAGCAGCCATCGAATGCTTCCTCACCGCTCTGGACCTCGAATCCAGCAGTCCTGTCATCCCATTCACTGTCATACCCAGGGAGCTCTGAAGCCTTGCCCTGCAGCTAAGCCGGTTCATTCTGTGGACAGACACCAAAATCAAACAAATGCAGAAAAAGCCCAACAGAAAAGTGCCATTGTAACCTGGAGCTGGGCAGAATAATTCAAGGACAGGGCTCAGGTCTACATGCTTACCTGAGACAAGCCTAGCTGTAGAAGAATTTGCGACAGGCAGAAATAGAGAATGCCTTTTTTCTTCACAGGTGCCTGGCTAACCTCCTGTTCAAGTTAATATCAAGGCTTATTTCAGAGTGTTGGTTCAAGGTGACTGTCTATAGAAAGATCATGCTGGAGTACAGCTGTTCAAAGCACTTGCACCTTTCAATTTTCATTAAAGATAAAAACCCCAGGCCCTGAATTAAAGCCCAGGCCTGCTCTAAACAGGAGTAAATGTACCAGCTAACTTGACCAAGCATGTGGCTGCCTCCACACCGATCTAACAGGATAGGAATGACAATTAAACCGTATAGACACGCAGTATATGCCGTTTACAAAATTATTTCAGCTATTTTAATAATCTTTTTTCCTGCCTTGCTCTTATGTACTGCATATGCTCACTATATTTAGTGTGGCGCTTGCCTAGAGCAATGTAAATTGAAAATACTTTTTTTTTAAAAAAAAGCTGCTATTGCAATATGAGTCACAAAAGCAGAAAGACCAAAGACGAAATCAGTTCACAGTTGAACTAGTATTAAAAACATATATGTATCTCTAATTACATATTTATTGAAAGGCCTTACATGAAGTGGCTAATTATACACTCTGAGCTTCATTCTTATTAATCAACTATTGCATCACTTTTAGTGAGGAATATAGTGATTACCAGTATATAGTGACTGAATTCTGTGCTCTGTTGCATTACTGTTCCTAGCACAAAACATTTTCATATCCATCTTTTCATGATGGAAAAGATGGCAGCAGTCTTTTAAGGGAAAGTATGCTGAAGGCTGTACATGTACATATGAATTGCTTCTTTCTTAAAACCAAATCTTTAGATTGTCTGTAGAAATGTCACATTAGAGGTACGGAGTTGCACCTCCAGCAGCAGAGCGGGATCATTTTGCATATCGTATCAGATGTTAGAACGAAGAGCTCCTAATCCGCGCAGCCCTGCCCCAACTGGCACGGCGGGGGCAGGGGAGCAGCTGGCACCCCCTGCTAAGCTGCTCCGCTGCTGGGCCTGACCTCCCCGGGGCTCGGCAGCGAGGCAGAGCCCTGCCGCGCCGTCACACAAGAGCCAGCCCCATCCAGACCAGTCCCAAGATAAAGGTGCTGCAGAAATGAGCTCCCGGCACTTTTCTACACAAAAGGTTGGGGCTCTGCACCCGTTTCTGTCCAAAGAAGATTTGCGACTATTTCATAAGTAGGTTTGCACTAAAACACACTTTGTACTATAATTCTGCCCGGTATTGTGATCCGCAACTAGTTCATTCCAGAGATAATAATATCCTCAGGCAATAAATGAGTAGGGGTTATTTCTTAAGGAGCCTGTGGCTCTGGCAGCAGACTTGAAGTCAGTGTTGTTTACAATTATTTGGAAACCTGAAGGCTAATGCAGAGGTGGGCCCCTCACGCTGCTCCCAGGCCACACCACCACTGCCCCCAGCCTCCCCTCGAGGCGCCCGTGCAGAGGGAAGGTGCACTGCCCTCAGCTTTCGCTCAGCAGCCTGTTGCACTCCCAGGCCGATAGTTTTATTTTTTCCCATTAAATCATGCTGGTGCAATAGCCCAGCTTATTCGTCTGTTCACCGAGGGATCTGGAGTGAAAGCGGCCCAGCCGTGAATGGTGTTCAGCCCATGAGGTCTCTGACTTTCCAGTGCCACACAGGCACCAAACCGGGCTTTTTAGGCCAGAGGCAGGTTTCCAAGGAGACAGTGTTACCCGGCCACATTTCTTGTTTGCAATAGCACCAGCAGCAGAGGAAGGAGTAGGTGTTACCAGAATTAAATGAGTTTCATGAAGACAGAAAGACGCAGCCGAGACCCATTTTGCTGTGAAGGATGCTATGAAGTCGGCTTGCTCTGCGCTGCAGGTGGGAAAGAGGGAAGGGGAGGAGGAGAGATGATCTTGTTGACATAATATGTAAATTGTTACCCAGGTGTTTTAAACCCAGTTCCACAGTCAGATGCAATCTGACAATAGACTTAAGTAGATAGGTAGATAGATAGATAGATAGATAGATAGATAGATAGATAGATAGATAGATAGATAGATAGATAGATAGATAGATAGATAGATAGATAGATAGATAGATAGATAGATATTATAGTCCAATATTTGTTCTGCTCCATGGTTCCCAGGGTGGGAGCAAGCCTGTGTAAGACAAAAAAAGAGTCAGTCTGGTCTGACATCACCGCTTGCTTGTGCAACGTATATCTGTAAAGCGCTGCCATAGCAACTTCTGTGTACTGGACAGCTATTTGAGTACAAGCTATGCATCCATCTCTGCGGCTGAGGAACCACTTTAAGAGGTCTGTAACGTAGCTGTTCTGTGACCTGGCAGGAGGGTGCCTGTTTCCCAGCAGCAGCTGAAAAGCAAACACTCGCAGACCCATTTATTTCTGCTTGCATAGCTTGTAAACAGCCACCAGCCCCTCATATTCCTTGCCATCAAGCAAACTTCATCTTGGCGATAATCAGGCAGTGCCACAGCAGTCATCTTCCTAGGAGAGGTGCAGACCTGTACGAAGTACTTTGACTGCATCAACCAGTCAAGTGTTGCCAGGGTGGTCTTGTGTTTGACGTGTCCACTAACGAGCATTACTGGCATTGGAATTGCAGTCCCAAGAGCTTCTGCTCCAGGTGTGGCAAGGAAGATGTACATGAGTAAATGCCACCAGCATCAGTAGGAATTCCGTGGGTAAGGTACCCTCTACCAGCACAGCACACCACAGTCCCTGCAGCAAGTTGCGGATGAAGTACTTCACATGCATACTGGACTCAATCCTGAGATTTGCTGCATGCTTCCTAGAGGATACGAAGCCCCTGTTGGCTGGAGGGGTGTTTTATGGGCCTGAAATGCTCTGTACAACGCAGGAAAGAGGGCAGTTGTTGCAGACCAGCAAGTATTTTGGGGGTAAATCCTCTAGCTACATTTGTCATTAGTGTTCACCAGAACAGAAGCCTTCCCAAGCTCACCTGCTACCTCTGTTCTTCAGCATGGATTTTTTTCATACTTCCAGGTACAGAAAAACAAAGACAACTGCTTCAGACAAGCCTATGTATTGTAGTCTTTATATTAATAGCAACATTGATAAATAATAGATCTACTTTCCTGAGCTCAGTAATACTTTTTTGTATAGCAGGGAGCCTGGCATGCTTAATACTCAGGGTTTGAGACTAAGAACATAAGATTTACATCCCATCCCTCATATGATTATTACAGATGATCATCAGTAATGGAAGTTTGGGGGAACAATAAGTGAAATACCAATTCTGCAAGTTTTAGCACTGACTTTGAGTCCCACAGTTTTCTCATTAGTTTAGAAAGAGGAAGAGAAAAAAGGCATCGTTGCCTAAGGGATCCAGGTATACACCCAGGTTCCTCTCATTCCAGCACAAGGCTGTTTTCCTTTGTGCTGGCAGGGTGCATACAAAAGAAAAATAATTGGCTTCTATTTTTCTGTTGCGCAGTAAAGGGGTAGTATTTGCCATTGCCCTTGACCTAGCAAGAAGGTTTGTATATTGTAACAAAAATGATTCTGCCTCCAGGGTAAGAGAAGGAGAAGCCCAACAGGCCAGGGAACAACTCCCCTCCCTGCCTTACCCCGTGTAATCCGTCATTAGCTCCACGGGAGTTGTTGGTAGTTACGAGCGTTTCCTCCAGCTGAGGATCTGCCCACCGGTGTGCTCGTTCTGCTCAGGGAGTACAAGGGAGCTGCCGTATTCCTGCGCTGCACAAGTACGCCAGTCCGTTTCTATTGGTAACAGTTCATGCTACTGATTATCACAATGCTTCAGAAGTGCTAATTATCTTTTCTTAGTAATGACTAATAAATCCAAATGGAGAACAGTCCTGGAGGGTGTTAGGGTGTTTACTTTAAAATTCACTGGCTGGGCACCAAAGTAGGCACAGAACTGACTGCTGCAGTTTGAATTACAGTTATTTTATCCAGAAAAATGTTCCATTTTCAGAGAGTCTTGGTGAAGGCAGAGTTTGGTTAGTTTATATTTTGTTTTAATGACAGCGGAGTGGGAAACTATCCTTTTTCATGAAAAGACTATCACTGCCACGATCCTTTTTCAGCCAAACCAACAGAGATTTGATAGTTGCAATTCAGCCTAGGTGAGGAAGGCTTCCCAGAGCAACTGCGCCGCAGCGATAATTGCCTCTGACGGCACTGTGTTAGGGGCACATTTGACAATTATGCAGTGAGCGTGTGTAGCTGAGATGTCTCTCCCTCCCGCAGCAAGTCACGTATTTGGCTAAGGAGAGCTGCTTTATGCCCAAAGGGACGACTGCGGTGCCCGCCTGGGTGCCTGCTCCCACCTGCGGGGTGGCTGCTGCCACCAGCCGCACGGGCTGGGTCGCCAGCACCCCCTTGCTGGCTGGTTCAACCAACCCTCTGGCTGTTCCCTAAGCCTGGCTCCGGGCGATGGTCTCCCAGCTGTTTGGTGCTGCAGGGTATCAGTGCACGGTCAGACAAAGGGTTGGGTTTTTAGACGGGAGAAGCTGAAACGCCCATCAGTTCGGTGAAGTTGGCAGGAGGAGAGGTAACCACTAACCCCTCAGCTGCCCAGATGGTTCCTTCGACTTTGCCTTTAATGACCTGGCTCACGCTTTCCACCCCAGCAAACCAAGTCAGGCTCCCAAGTAAGCGGATGCTGAAAGATCCAGTTCGTTTCCCCACAGAAACACATGCCAGTCCGTAGCTAAAACCACTTGATAGGGGCACGACGCCGCACGGTTGCGGAGCAGCCGGTGATGGTACGAGTAAGGCCCTCCCGAGCCGGTGCACAGAGGGGTGGTCAGCTTCCACACGTACGGGCGGTTCCTACCCACCTCTTGAACGCTGTTAGCGCGGTTGTTGAAATCAGTTTTCCATGTAACTTTTTTTTTTCCTCATTGTAAGATGTTTTCACCAGATGAATAAAATTGACCCTGTGGAAAACAAAAAATGCTCCTCATATTTCCTGCCAATTTCAGGACTTTTAATATATTCATGCCACAGATACTTCAAGCATTATGAAAAGACCGTTTGTTATATTAACTGGAACCTAGTGTGCCTAGCAAGTTACCAGTTGCAAAGGGTATTTTAGCCTACACCCTGTAGTTCATGGGAAAAACGAGAGTGAGCAAGCAAGCAGCGTGCTTTCAGAGGGGAACACAGCCAGGAAAAAGGAGTAATGTAGCTTCAGATGTTTGGCTTTATGGAAATTTAAGCGAGCATCATGCTTTTCTTGTGCTTCTTCCAGGAAAAATAAACAAAGGTAGTGTGAGAAACCCTAACATCAAGGTAATATGCAAATACTATGCCATCGAGTTTAGGGACTCTCGCCTTACTTTGGCCACAATGCTATTAATCACCTTTTTGCTACAAACAGTTACTCCTGTGGTTATTTGGAAATAAAATGGCTTCATTCAAGAGCTTCCAGAGCATTCTTCGCATTTACATATTAATCTTTTGGGCAAGCTTCAAGAGGGCCTTCTTAAAAAGCCAGCCCCTTAGTTTCATACTCGAATGTGATTAAGGACAGGGTTTTTAAAGAGCTTTTCTTCATAACAGTGGCTACTTTGGTTTATGAGTGTATTCAGTATAACAAGCAGAAGAAGGTTCTTCTGTGGCAATAACAGAATTAAGTCCTTCAGCTGTTAGTACAAAGTCTTAAAAACTGGAAATCAAAGTGAACAAAATACTAGCTCTGACTTTTTTCCCCCTCTTTCCCACGATACAGAGAGGAAGTGAAACAGTGGTGTCAGGTTTCTGTGGGTGACCGACGTGGGAGGGAGGAGGCTGCCACGGTCCCCCCCGAGCTGGAGCCCAACTGGAGGTATAGAACTGAACCCCAACTAAAACTGGAGAATTTTATTGTTCAGTCCCATCTGAGGGAGATCACTTGTCTTTGCTTTCGTCCTAACGGTGGTACATTGCCTGTTATCCTCGCTGCATCACGCAGATGTTTAATACTCCCTTTCTGTTTAAATGGGAAGGAAATAAGCCTTTTGGCCCCTCATTTTTGCTGGGAGAAGCTCCAGATGGTTCGGGTACTCTCCACCCTTAATTCAGAATCGCTACTTCCTTCACAGAGAACCAAGTTATATTTCAGTGGTAATTTTGATGTGATACTCTTGAAAGGTCATTAAGAATAATTTAATAATTATTCATAATTTAATATATGTTTTACATTATTTTAAATAATTGATTCATACTTCCACTTCTGTCTTTCTGCTGCAGAATGGGTAAAACCAACTCAGATACCTACAGTATATTCTTGCCTTGTGTAAAGCTGAGATATTTAGCAGTCCCATAAACAGCAAGGGAAGAGATGAGCAGCATCGCTACTGCCCAGATACTCACTTCCATGACAATCTCTGGTTGTCAGGTTTTTATGAAGTCACCAAAGCAGCAGCGCTGACTTTGTCTGTGTTTAACCGCATCCCTCAGGAGATGTCACATCCCAGCCAGGCATGCCTGAACATGTCTTTGGAACTAAGAAAAAATATACACATAACCTACTGATCTTTAAAGACTGGTGTTAAAGTAGACCTACATATCACTGGCTTATTCTGTTGCCATTAGCAGTCACTACAGCGTTTAACTGTGCTGTGGCTGTCAAGCCAGTTTCCTCTGCTGTGTTGTCTCCAAAACGAAAAGCAGCATCTGGCAGCCAAAAATGTCCCTGCAGGTCCACCAACTGAAAAGCAAGATCCAAAGGTTTTCTCAGGGCTCCAAATGTTGAATTATGAGGGAAAAAAGCCTTACAGGTCCTTCCCCTGGTTGCACGGAGCTGCCATTTTCAGACCTGATCCCATTTAGAACTGATATAGTTGCTGTAATCATCTGGCTGATGGAGGAAGAGAATCAGGTAGGCTGAATTTTATACAGCAAAAATGGCAAGTGTTGTAACATGTCCTAAAAAAGCAAAAGAGCAATGAAAACTGTAAAACAGGAGACATTTTCCTTACCGAAAGGCTCTCACAGAAGCAAAGCCCAGCTTCACTGGCTTTTCTGACAGAAACACGCAAAAAGCTCAGTTTGTGAGAGTAAGATCAAACGTAAGGCAGCCCCTTGCCAGCGTCCTGACTGCAAAGGCCTCTCTGAACCTTGACTCTGCCTCTCCCCTGCGCCACAGGCAGAGCCCCCAGTCCAGCCCGAGGGCACGGGACCCCAGTGTGCTGACGGCGGGTGCCAGGCCCGTGCCCAGCTCTCATTGCCTCACAAAGGACAGCGTGGTGGTCCTCGAAGCAAAAGATTCATTGCGCTACGTATGACAAGTCAGACATCTTTTTTACGATGCTTACGCTATCGTAATTAGCTCTGGAAGCAGGGATGGTTGGGAATTAATCAGCAGTAAGCACTCCTGTGTTTGGCTGTGAGGAGCTGACGTCCTCAGCCCGCGTCTGCAATGCCAGGTTCTGTTTCAGAAGGATAGGAGTTCAAGGATATAACAATTTTCTGGTCAATGGTGGTTAGAGGTGATTTTGTGCTCAGTGTAAATGGCATTGTCTGGCAGAGACAATTAGCAGACAAAGCGCTGCCTCACCAGAGGCTTTGCAGCCTTGGAGGCGCTTCTTCTAGGCTGACAACAAACAGAAATTTGAGATTATATCTCGGGTTTCCAAAACAGGAAGCTGCTAAATCCAGCAAGCAAGCAATTCATTTCTCAGTCATAATGATGCTGTTCTTGCATCTCCTTGGAGGATACTGAAGTGTCTGTCAAAAGGTAGCAAGGGAGGTATTTCACCCCCATTTTCGCCAGATGGAAAACTGAGTCTGCCAGGAGTTGAGCCAAGAGAGGGGTGTTATTCTATGCAGAACTGGTTAAATTATTATGACTTGGGTTTTGTTCCTTTCTGCAGTTTGTCTCCCACCCGTGACTACCATGCCCTAGTCACAGCATGGCATGGTCCTCCTTCAAACTCTTTTTTTTCAGGTTTCTTCTGTGGAGGGGGAGCCAAGGGAAGTTTCCACTCGCTATATTAATGCAGTATGTATGACTTCTTCCATAAAACAGCAGTGGCCCACATTAGACACGTGTTGTTGCAACTACAAGGTACAGAAAGGTACAGGTACCTCTGTACAAGTGGTCCTGGTCTGGCCTTGGAGTGCTGCTGGGTCAAGGGGAGATGACTTAACACAAGTAATTTTGTTTATTCATTTCTTCTGTTTCCCATCGTCCCCTCCTGGGTACTTCCAAAGCTCTTTCTGTTCAGCCAGCTACCCAAGAAGTAATAAGCGGGGGAAAAAAAAAAAAATTGTTTCAAGCTACATTCCAAAGAAAAACTTCAGAGATTTTTTTAACTAAACAAAGAGCTTAAAAAACCCAAAATATTGTTCTGACAGGAGTCCTCAAGTAGTATCTTCAATAACTCGGATTTATATGACCAGAAGTTTTGAGAGAATTGCCAGAAGGGAGAGCATTTTGAAACAAAAATTCAAGATGTTTAATCCTAAAACAATCTAAACAGAACATTTAAATTTTCCTTTTTGTCTTCCAGCCAAGAACTATTCACCAAAGTTATCTCAAGTTTATAAGTGGCTCCAGTTTTCTGGAACTTTGCTTTTCAGCGAATACCATACTTGAACAAGTTTAGAAGTGCTTTCCAGTCCCACTTTTTGTTCTCCTACATGGCTAATTCTGGAGTGCCTGGTGTGAAAGCATTCTCAAGTGTTTCTGCACAACATTACCAAAAATCGCATTCCCCCAGTCCAGCAAGCGCAGGTTGTTTCCTGGAGATTAGTACCAGCTGCTGAGTAAACACCAGCCTGCACTGCTCCCCACGCGCGCACACACAAAGCTGGGATTGTCCCCACAGGAGTAAATACAGACCGGTCCCAAGCACTTTTGGAAATCCCACCCACGTACACATCTGCAGCTCAGGTGATGGTGACTGAAGTGTGTGTCCCGCTCAAACACACCCTGGGTAAAAACGAGGTCTTGAATATTTTGGGTCTTGCTACCGAAGCAAGCGCCCTTTTTCGGCCTAGCAAAGCGCTGGCGAAGCCCCGCAGTTGCCGTGAGCCGCACGCAGCCCGTGGTTACGGCTGCCCAGGCGCTGCTGCGCGCCTGCTCCCAGCTCCCCGCTCACCCGCTCCCAGCCCGCTGCTCCACAGCAGCCCGCTACAGAGATTTTTTTCAACTTTTTGCGATCCCAAGGAACTTTCCACGGGATGGCTACATCTGTAAGATTTACTTATGCGAATTTCTGCAGAGGATATGACCTCTCTGGAAAGGACCTGTTGGGGGTCCTATATTAGTTGGCTGTAGACACCCCTGGGACGTGTAGCTCACAGACTAAGACTGGGGACTTAGAAGTTTTCTCCGAGATTCTATTAGCGCTTCTTAATTAAAAGACCTCTTTGGGGACCTGAATTGAATTGGAAACCATGGTGATCACTTAGGTCAATCACACACGGAGATGATTGCATTTGGAAGAGTGAGGTGGAAGATGAGAACATGTGCATGTTGAAGGGCTTTAAGAAATAACAAAAAAACCCAAACATCTGTAAAAACAAGGAGTATTCATGTTTTGCAAAAGAGCAGTTAGAAGATGCATCGTATATGGCTCACCATTCGCTCTTGAATTAGAGACTAACAGCTGTCTTACAGAGTTGAAAAACATCTTCAACTTTCATCTCTCTGAACATTTATCAATGGATTTGACAGTCTGTCCACTTTCTCAAACCCATGTATGCACATTTTCACTCGTGTTGATAACTGTACCAGAAAGACCGAAATGCTAACTAAGCAGCTGTGCTTCCAGTCATCCCACATGAAAGAAAGATGTTGGTACCAACCTACTATGAAAATAAAAAAGTTTAGCCACATACAGTGGATCCTGTAACTTCAGTATGCAAAACCTAAAATATAAAGAGATGCTCGGTATCCAGGAAGCATTTTTGTTCAAGACTTGAATTCCACTGTTATAGTTAGGAAATACTCATTTGTGCTCAGAT